TTCAACTACTGGTATGACTCAGTTTTACTGTTGTTATTATGCTTGGATTAAAATTTGAGTTTCTTAACATGGTCTATCCCTGCCTAAGTTTGTAGCTATGCAACTCTACATCGTTAAGTAAATATCCCTTACTGGGATTGCCTAGAAAGCAGAGCACGGAGCAAGGGTGAAGAGAAAATTTTTCACTGGAGGTAGAATCCCCGCCTGAGTGAGGGATGAGATGGGAAGTAAGGAATGGAAAGTAATTGTCTTGTGAGGTGCCACCAGGGGACCACTCCTTTATGTTAAGCCACAGAGAGACATCTGCATGGCTATGTGAAGAAGCTGCCTTGGACAGCCCACTGGAGGGAAAAAGAGAAAGGAGATGCATCCCCTACCATGCCTCTCACTGGCAGAAGCTCACCCCACAGAGAGTTCATCTACCAGACCCCTGAACACCTGCTGGAGAAACCAGATCCACACCAGCAATGTGATGTGTCATCCAGGCCCAGAAGTGGCAAGAGGGGCCTGGCCACCAGCTGGTCGGCATCAGTTAGAACCACCTCATGGTCCTGCCCAGGAATCTATCAGCATGGTGGCAGCTGATACAGAGAAAATGGCTGAGGGTCCAGGATAAAGTAAGTCCAAGGGAACATGAGGCACTTAAGACATGACCAATTCACGCACCTTCTCTCAGTCTTCTGAACACACAGAATTTCTCTTCACTCCTGGTTGAGTTAGTATTCTTGATCCACATTTTGTATTTTCAGAATATCTTAGGCCATGTTTCAGAGATTTATGCAGCTGGAGAGTTTTTTGGGACCACCTAACTATTTCCCAAATGGAGGTATTGTTTTCTCCTGAATACCTAAATAATTCTTTCTCTATCCTTGGAATTTAAAAATGTAACCTGGCTTCATCTTGTGTTCATTTATTCTGAATCAATATTGCTCAAACATGGTGTCCTTTGAAATTTGCAGGCTCAGTGCTTCTTTTATTGCAGGGAAATAATTCCTGGTACCTTTCCCTGTCTTTGCTCAGACCAAGTTCTCTTAGAGGTGATTTCTGAACCTTTTTTTTAGGCTGATGTATTTTAACCATTTCATATTAGCTCGCTCATCTTTAAACATTTTCCTTCAAATCAAGTCCCAGCTGTTTTACTAACTAGTTAGCAAATCATACCAACAGCTACTGAAATGAACAGTAAGCATGTCTGTTTGGCTCATGTTGGGAAACAGATTTTGTATCTGCATCACAAAAATTTAGGAACCAGCCACAATGACGACAGTGCCTGACCACAGACAGAGGCAAGGTACACCTAGTACACAGAGATTCTAAGTCAAGAGAATCACTGTTTTATCTAGAACAGCACTAGCTGAATATGGTCCAGAAATGCACAGCATTGAGTGCACCTAGGGGCCTGTTAGGAATACTAACTCTGTACTGGACCAGAAGCTCATGGGGTTGGGCTTGGGAGCCTGTATTTACACATGCCCTCCAGGGTAGTCTATCTATGCTCAAATCAAAAGAACACTGGTCTAAAACAGCACTCTAGAAATACTAAGGGTTTGAATTAAGGGACTAAATTTTTAAGCAAAAATAAATAAAGGTTTAGCCGAAGTGGCAGAGGGTTCAAATCTACAGGGTGCATTGCCTGAACCAGAGAGAGCACAGGAGAAGCAGCAGATCTATGCAATAAAGCCTACATTCAATCATACACATACGCAAATGGAGGCAAAGTGAAAATAAAAGTAAGAAGCTTTATCCTAGAAGACCCAGTAGGAGCCCTGCTACTGAGTGGTATTTCCAAGGAGACGACATAGAATCAGAACCGCCATAGCTACAGGTAGAGCCAGCGAGGGGCAGGTAGCATACACGGAGTCAGCACAGAATATGACAGACAGGAGAAGGGCCAGGAGATGGTGGGCTACGAGTCCTGGAATGCAGGAATGGTCAACACAACTTTAGGATTATCTCTACAAGGAGAAACTGAGCAGCTATTTGATATCAGATTCAGTCACAGGGCTCCCATCATAAATATTCTAAAGGAGGCACCGTTTGCCATTTTACCTCCTGCTAGGACTTCCCAAGAAGTAACTTGTAAAATATCAGCACAGTCATGGCCCAGATAATGTGCGCCACCATTTGACTTCCAGTAAGAGACAAATGGGAGTGGCAAGGAAATAGTTCTAGACCAGGTCCGGGAAAGGCTATTGGCTCAGTGGGTTGGTGAGCAGCAGGGAAACGCCATTCGAGCCACAGGAAACACTACGGGCTGCCCTGCTAATAGAAGTCGGCCTCACTTGGATTCTCAGTAGCACTGAGGCCAACTGCAGTAGAACCCCTTGCACACCTGCCCTGACCCCTGGAATGTGGTTTGGAGGGAGGCTCTCTTTAGGACCTGGTGTATCTATGGCGGTCTCCATGCTGGAAGGGCCCTTCAGCTAATGCAAACTCCTCTTGCCCTTGAATTTAACAATCTGTCAAGTGAGACACGGAGACTGCAGAAGAGCTCTATGTATGGCCTCTTGCCCCAAGATCCCAACCTGCGATCCCAGTAGGCAACATCTTGATGTGTGCCATGATTCAATTAGTAAATAGGCAGTCGGTTAAAATGAAAGCAAAAAGGTGTGTAGAACAAATAAATGAATCTCTGTAAGACATATTTGCTGACTGGCACATGGTGTATCACCAACGGAATCAGATCTGCAAACCTGGAGACCAGACCTGGCAGCCTGGGACATTGCAGCCTCCGCGGCCTGAGCCAATCCTCTCACTACTGAGTGGGAGGGGCAGCCGGAGGGGAGAGGGGAGAGAAGCAGCCCAACCGTAAGATCATTCAAAGCAGACTTGTGCAAGGAAGTTTCTAGTAGGCTGTCCTGGTTAAAAAGCCATGAAAGGTGACTATAATTTCATCTCAGATATATAATTTATCCAAGTCGGTCTGTTTGGATTTGATTTAGATCCTGTTCAAACATACTGTTTGTAATAAAAATCCTCAAATACTTTATTTCTGTGGGCACATTAAAAATAGTGGTAGAACAAGTTGCTCACTTCTCTGGGCAGAACGTGTGGGTCCTCCCAAAACTCATGCTGCATCCCTCATCTTCAACACAGTGGTATTAGAAGGTGGGATCTTTGGGAGGTGATTAGACCATGATGCCACATGGAGCCCTTCTGAATGGGACTAGTTCCCTTATAAGAAGAGACACGCGAGAGAAGATCTCTGTGTCCGCCAAATGAGGACACAGCAGGAAGAAAGCTCTCCTTGGAAACAAACTGCCTGGTGTCTGGATCTTGGACTCTACGCTCCAGAATTTAGAGAAATACATTTCTGTTGCTTAATGCCCCCCAGTCTGTGGTTCTTGTTACAGCAGCGTGGACATTATTAACACAACGGATGCAAATGCCACCTTCTGAAGGCCTTGGCTGTGGAATAGGTCAGAATCCAGGTGAGGCCTCAGGCTGCTTTCACAGGCCTGCTCAGGACAAGCCCCACCTCCCCTCACCATCCCACTCTGGGTGCTGATAGGAGGCGCAACACCTCCCAGAAGGCCAAGATGGCTCTGCCTTCTGGAATCATCATTGATGAAGAAAACCTAGGAAAACGTCTGGGAAGGTCCAGTTCACTCCTTCCTCAGCCGACCACACGCCAGGTTCCTCTGTGAGGCATGAAGGATAAAAATGGCACAACAAGAGACTTGGTTCCTTCCTACATGCCAGTGAGCCAGACAAACATCACCATGGTGATTCTACATCTTCTCTTCAAACAGACATCAAGCCTGACCTCTATCTCCGCAGGCCATCACATCCTCTGCGCTTCACCTAACAGCTTCTGGGAGCCATGCTCATAGCAGCTGCCACCTAATGCCCCCAAGCTCCCTGTGTGACCTCCCTTACTCCTCCCTCAGACCGACTTCCACAGGCGCCAACGGCCTCCACTGGCTACCTACTGTCACGTCTCTGTCCTGACCTCACCTGAGCACACGGCAGCACCACCCACAGCTGACCCTCGGGCCTCTGCGCCCTTCCTGGTTCCCTCCTCGGGCAAGGCCAGCTTGTCCTCCCCAGGTGCAGGAGCCTCAGTTCTCAGCTTGAACGTCCCCTCCTGGGGAGGCAGCCCTATCCCCCAGGTGCAGGTCCCTCCCCAGCTCTCTCTCAGGTGGCTGTGCTCACACACACAGCATAAGCCTGTCGTCATCTCTCTCCCACTTTCTCAGCGGTTGGCTTATTGTCCTTGGTTCCCATCAACCTGAGCTCCAGGTGAGCAGGACACAGTCCGTTCACCTTCTGACCCATCAGTGCTCAGGGGAACCACAACGTAGTAAAAACTCAACAAATCTTCAGTGATATCGTGAAGAAAACCAACAGAGAGATGGGAGGCATTAACAACAACGGAGTGGGGCTTCTGCTAGAACCCTGGGCAGGACGTGGGGCTAGGGCAGCCTCCCCAGGGAGCTCTGTGCAGCAGGACCTGGGGGCAGGACGTGACCTCGGAAACGAACAGACTAGTGGCCACTGATGTGAGAGGCTGTGTTGCTCGTGTCTTCTGTAAAACGTTTTGTTATTGATGCCTCCAGACATATTTGGGATGCTTCCCTGGTCCAGCCTACAGCAGGGCTAGCTTGCTGTCAGCACCATTTTTGAGCCCGTCGGAGATCTGTATGGAAACGCCAGGATGGCAGTTAACCCAGCAGTGTCCTTTAAGAAATCCCATTGTCTTAAATTATCCAAAGGAAAATGGTCTCACTCAGAAAAGACTTCCTTTATGAATAGTTAAGGAACAATAGTTAAGAAATTAGGCATTGTCTTTCCAGTTAAATTATAACTAGTGTTGTGAAAAGAGGGTGAAATTAACATTTCCTGTAAGAGGCACAGAAGATGAGGCAGAGAAGGGAGCTCTGTGGGCTTGGCTGCTTGTCAGGAAAAAGATCCAAAGCTTGACAGTGAAATCACGTGTTCAGCATTTAAAACACTAAACCAGAGGGCAGACACCTCCTCAGAAAGAGCAGAGCACCTACCTGTGGCCAAATAGATGATGTGGACAAGCGTGTCCCGGCCCTGCACCACGTCCACGGCCACATGGGAGAAGCGGCTGTTGTCCTCCATGAAGGGGGGCACCGGGGTCACTGGCTGCACCACTTCATGCATCAGAATGAACTTCTGAGCATCCTGCAGGTTTCTTTCTGTCAGGTTTGCATACAGGCCCTGGTCCACTGTGCCACACTGCAAAGGAACACAGGCCGTCACTGGAACCAGCCACCTCGACCCCACAGTTGACCCCGGCCACCCCAGCTGGAGGGTGACTTGGAAACTGAACAGCTGAAGCGCGCAAACAGGCTTGCTTCTCCCATTTCCCCCACGGTCCCTGTCCTTGCTGTCCCCCCCAGTTTAGGTACAAACTCATCATATTTGGGCACCTCTCATCTTCATCATAAATGAATGATCAGAAGTTAAAGTGGAAGTCATTGCTACGTTTAATTTGACAACATATGCATAAAAATTCCTCACCACCTCTTGACAGCTCAGGAGCTATCTGGCCAAACGCATACTGTTCTTTCTGGGAAGTCAGGTCCCCAAATTGAAAACACAGCAAGCAAATGCATCATACAGATTTATTAGTTTTCCTGTTGGAGGAGTGGGTTTATATGTAAATTATGGACTCCACGGGGAAGAATTATGCCATTCTAATTTGCAAATTATGTAATATTATTCCATTATCTTTCACACGGGCTACAAAAACATGCTGCTAGCCTTATGCATAGTGCTCATATTCCAAGCTAGAAGAGAGAGGAAAAGAGATGGAGAGAGAGGAGAGTAAAGAAAGAGATTTTTCCACTAGGGGAACCATCCTGAAGATGACTCTGAGATAAACAGGAGATAAAAATCAGGCCTGAAAATTGCTGAGAATCCATTCAGGGCTGTGTGGTTGAGAGGCTGGCAGGTGTTATGGAGGATGGTTTTTGGCAAGGATGAGTTAAAAAGATGGGGAGGAAAGACAGCACATCCTTCCAGGGGCAGAGCACAGAGTCAGAAAATAACCATTGTGCTTTCTCCATCTTTCATAAACTTGAATCCTGGTACTTGTATGTAAAGGCTGAATCTTGGCAGAACATCATCTAAGCAGATTTGATAGCAATGAATTTCCCTGTCCATGCCATCTGAAACTACCACTTACAACACGTCATTTCTAAAACTTGGTGTTATAACAAGTGAGAGGTGCAGAGGTTTAAGAAGGAAATGGCTTTTTTTAAATAGATACTTTTGTAGCCCTTGATAAAATGTGCTACATGCCATAAAATGACAGGCCAATTGTGGAATTAGAGAACCTTGGAGAGAAATGGATTCCGAATCTGGTCCAATGCTTAACTTAATGTTACACTGTTGCAGGGGAACCCATATGCCAGGCGGTGGGATCATACCTGGGCAGGTGAAGGCTCAGCATGGGCATCCTGTAGCCATGTGATCTCAGGTCAGGCCTTTCAACCTCTGCCTCTACCTCTAATGTGGCTGGGAAACACTCTGCTCACTTCATGGGGCTGTTGTGAGGGCAACTGTCATCCTCAGCGTAGAGCATTTGTGAATTAATGGAAAGTGCTTATAAATGCCAAGGAACTGGCCAGTGTGCAGACACAGAGAAGGCATTCAACCAGTGGTAAATGATCAATGCATTCATCTTGTAGCAGGACAGTGGCTCTATGGTCCATTCAGCTGCAGTGGTCAGAGGGAAATGAATGAATAAATAAAGGGCAGAATCAGTGGGTGAATACACAAGCAGGTGCCACTGGGGCAGGGGGGCTATGCCAGCAGATTTTTACATAATTATGTTTAACAGTGACTCTCGCAAGACAAGACACTGGCTGTGAACCAATGTGCTACAAGATGAAAGAGCCCTCCTGGTCTTGGTCTGAGGTCCACCCAGGTGACTTCTAGTGCTCAGAGAGACTTTGTGTGGGCAGTTTATTCTTCCCGAAATTGATGGCAGTATTCTGGCACAGGGTGAAGGTTTGCACACAGGTTTTGTTCTGTATGTAGTGTTTTTTTAAGACTGGCATCATAAAAATCAGGTGATACAGTATAAAAACTGAGGACCTCATGCTGCTTGTGAAGAGTCTGAGGCCTGGGAGGCCTGGCTAGGCTGCAGCTGCACAGCAGGACCACTGAATAGCCTTGTCATTTTTAGTCCTGGACTCTGTATCTCATTTAAGTCATCGATCTGAATTGCCACTGTGATATTGTGATTTGTAATAAGAAGTACATTAATTTATCTTTCTGCACCATGGTTCCTGGCTTCCAGTTCATAAAAACCACTGGAATTTCCCAGGTGATGGGAGATAAAGCTGTCTTTGTTCTGTTAATGAGGCGGCTTTTGGGAAGCACCTAGGAAGCACCTAGGTAACTTAAGGATGCAAGCTTTGCCAGGGGACCCAATCATGTGGCTAGAGGGTAGGAACTTTCAGCCCTACCCCTGATATCCAGGGGAAGAGTGACTGGAGGGTGAATCAATTGCTGATGGCCCGTGATTTAATCAATCCTACTTATGTAATGAAGCCTCCATAAAACCCATAAGGACGGCTAAGAGAGATGCTAGGTTGGTGCTCTCCTGACACTGAGAAGGTGGGCATGCCTGGGGGGGGTACAGGAGCCCCATGCCCTCTCCACGTCCCTTACTCTATACATCTCTGCCATTTGGCTGTTCCTAAGTTATACCCTTTTATCATAAACCAGTGATCTGTTAAGCAAAATGTTTCTCTTAATTCTGTGAGCTCCTCTAGCAAATTGGACTTGAGGTAGTCATGGGAAGGTCGTCACTGGCTCCTATTTACAGCCAATGGGTCAGAAGCACAGTGACAACTAGACTCAATATTTGTGTCTGAAATGGGGACAGGAGGATCCTGCAGGACTGAGTCCTTAACCTGTGAGAGCTGATGCCATCTCCGGGTAAATAGTGTAAGAACTGAGTTGAATTGTAAAACGCTCAGATGGTGCTGGAAAATTGCTTAGGTGGTGGGTAAAACTCCCGCACGTTGGATTGAGTGACAAAGTAGTTAGCCAAGAAATTGGTTTGAGACTACATCTTGATTTTTCTTGCCAGCCTATTATGAATATCTCACCCAAGGACTCTTTTTTAAATATTTTGAAAGCTATTTAAATTTGTAGCATATATTTATTGGCTCATAAGTAACCCACCCAGCTCTCTAAGGCTGCAAATTCTCTAGCTGTGTCTTATACACTGAGTTCCCTCTGGGTCTATGTGAGACCCTGGAGACTCAGTGCAAGAGGAAAACAATAACAATAATAAAAATGATCTTCATGTGTCTTACAACCCAAAAAGGTCATCTGGTCATCTTGCTAACACCTGGAAGTAATGAGGTCAATAATTCTATTTACTTTTTAAATACAATAATCCTTGCATTTTTGCTTATGTGTTTTAAGTACAAGCTCTCCATCCTTGTTCTAGCTCCCCAGCCCTAGGCAGGCAAGTCCAAAATCACAGAGCCTCCTGCTGAGAGTACCCAATTTTAATGGTGCCCTTCTGCCTGACTTCCTGAGAACATGCTTTACTTATCAAAGGGTCCTGATAATGTGGTCAAATCCAAGTCCTTTCACTTGGTCTGCCAACAATCTGCGTCACCACTTTCAAGGGTCCATTCTTCATTTCGGCTCCATCATTTGATTGGTGGTAATCAAAACTGCACAGAAAATTCCAGAGTCTGTCCCAACATGGCTGTGCCACCGGATCTATATGATGTTTCCTGTTAGTGACCAATGCTGTTCCCAGTGAGGCCCTCTGGATAACTTTGGGGGCTGTAGCCTCTAACAGGGCAGACTTTTATAGCACTGCATACAGTGGTTTCTAGATTGCAGCAGATAAAAATAATATATAGTTTTTTTGTTTTGTTATAGTTTTCAGTTGAGATTTCTGTATTAATCTTGAAAATTTATGCACTGTTTCCTAACCCATTCTTCTCCCAGAACCTGAATCACGTTTCTGCTCCTGTAATTAACTAGCTACCTCTAGTATGTAAGTGCTGAATAAAATTCCAAATGCAGTAGGCAAACAAGAAGAGTAAAAAAAAAAAATCTAACTACTTCCTACTGTTAATTATTGCAAACATAAGGTCTTTTATATATGACTAGTGGCAAGATCCTTAGTTCACAATATATTTCCACTCTATGCCAGCCTTGATGGTCTTAAGAATGTCAGTAAGAATGCCTACATGCTAGCGTGGTTGCCCAATATGGTAAACCAAAAGGAAACGGGACATAGCTGCACCAGGAGTTATACGAAGAATCAACATGATTTACAGCTTTAGTGCCCTACAAATGTTAAACTCTAGCCAAAGAAGACAAGCTCAGCTAAGCCAGCTTCTTGCCTGAAATGCACACACATTTCTGCAAGCTTCATTTATTATACTGCACAGACCCACTCCCCCATCTCATAAATGTTTGAGTAAGTGCTTCAGTGTGATACTGGCATTATAAAACCAGATGCCCGTGGCCTTAGGAAATGAGGGAATTTGCTGTGTGCTACCAATATGTCCAGACAAAGGAGCTAAAAGGTACCCACCGCCTGAAGCGGGAGGTGTCACAAGGTTTATTAGGTTACTATTCATGTGCAGACTTTTGCAATAGACACATTAAGACATTAAAAGTACACTATAAATATAGGGAGCGTCTTTGTTAATTTTTTTTGAATCTTCAGGATTTTACAACAGACTTTCTTACAGGGAGTAATATATTTTACCTTTAGGATTTTACAAAGAGCAGCGTGAACAGTTACATTTCACCTCAATATCTGGGGACACGGGTAAGATTTAGATGCAAAGACTCAGCAAAGGTTCAGAGTCAGTTAGTAATTACATCAACCATGTATGTCATCAGGAAAGGTGACTATGCATGTTTGTTTCCCACTAAACCGTCAGCTTGTCTGACTCATAATATCAATTTATTTGTCCAGTATAGACTTGCTCGGTAGCAAGGCTGGGATAATAAAAACAGATCTGATCACTCAGTTGCCTGACTTACAAGTATGGATGATGATGCCCACATTACAGAGCCACTGAGTGGAGAAAACAAGACAAAATGCATAAAGCATTTATACAGCATGTGACTCCTAGAAGGCACCCAATACATCGACCCTAAGAGTCATCTTCATCAGATACATTATACAGTGAACTGTGCATATTGATCAGTACTTTCAAAATTTATTCCTAAAACATTCTTGTGCATTTGTATCTTTCCTTCCTCATTTTATTGCAGATGGAAGATGCTAAGTCATTTGCCCAAGTAAAGCAGTAAATGGTAAAGAGGACATGTAAACTACCCATCTTATTCCAATCCCATGCTCCTTAAAACATTTTTTGAAAAGAAGTATAAGCTTATTAAAACAATTAAAACTGAATGGTCCCTACTTACCCAAGTCCAAGTAAGGTATAAGAACATTGAACTTTTCCATACTCCCAGTTTTCTCAAAAGCCAAAGGTTTTAGGTTATGAGATGATAAGCCAACCACAATCTGGGGGCCTGCATACAGAACCCAGTTGTCACAGTGATTGGTTATAGTAACTAACGGTCCTTCAGTCAGAAGAAGTTGGAGCTTTGCATCTGAGGACTGAGGCTAGAACCCCAGCTCAGCCCCTAATCAGCCAGCACCCACGGCCCAGTTATCTGCTCTGAGGCTCACTGGCCTTCTCTGCCTATGGGAGAAGTTGTTGCCAATCACAGCACTGTTGCAAGCATGATGCATGTGAAGCATTGAGCTGTGTCTGGAACATCTTGGTACTAAAAATTACACACACAATGATGATGATGATGACAATCCTATGAAACTTCTTGTCAGGAAGGAGGCTCTCAAGGAACCTGTTGTTAAGGGCAGAATTCTATGTCTCCCCAAATTCACATTTTGAAGCTCTGACACCCAGTGAGGCTGCATTTGGAGATGGGGCCTCTAGGGAAGTGATTAGGGTTAAATGAGGCTGTAAGGGTGAGGCGCTGCTGCCACAGGACCAGTCTCCTCACACTCCCCGAGGAGGGGCCACATGGGGACACAGCAAGACGGGCCACCTACAAGCCTGGAGGAGGGCTGTCACCAGAAATGGAACCAGCCAGAACCTTGCTCATGGACCTCAGGGACTGTGACAGAATACATCTCTTTTGTTCGGCCATCCAGTCTGTGGTGTTTGTTACGGCCGCCCAAACAGACTGATATACCTGCTTCACCCACCAACCCTGAGGCCACGGCTCTCTCTGGTCTCAGCTTCTTCTGAACATTGGGAGACAGGAAGGAAGGAAGGACATGCAGAGTTCCTTAGAGCTTGAATCCTGTAATTCTGTGATGCACAGATAAACGGCCTCTATCTGCTCTTCTTCCCGTTGCCCCATCACATCCTGGCCACCCGACAGGAAACCTCAGCACATTTGCCAATTAGAGCTATAATTCTGTTTGTACGTCTCTATGCTCTGTGCCCTGGACCCCATTCATTAGGGCACCATTCATGAGGGATCAGAGTTTCTGGGGACACAGAATCCACATCATTAGCACTAATTGAAGGCTGGGTTCCCAGACGGCCACACTGTGCTGGCCTTTCTCAGTCCAGCCCCAGGCGTCACTGGCAACAAAAGGCCTCAGCCTGTTCAAAGGAACCAAGCGACCAGACCACGGCTGCACTGGGCATGCCCCCAGGGGGCCCAGGGCTCCTGGCTGCATTGCATCAGCACCAGTGTTGGAGCTGCCCTGGCCGGACCACACGAGGCTCTGTGTCCCTTCTGGGGAACAAACTGATGAGTGCCCCATGGCCTGGGAAATTACCTGGAAGTTGGGGTTGGGGTTGGGGTAGGGTAGCCAGGCGGCACGGGAGCTCTCCTGGTACTTGAAGGGCCCATTGAAGGCCTGGGAGACGGCACTCAGGTTGAAGACACACACGGCCGAGGCTGCGATGCTGTTCCTGTGGGGCCAGGGAGAGAAAGCAAAGGGGTCAGAGAGCTGAGACCGTGTCCCCCCAAGACCTGAGGTCCTGTGCGGAGGCATCTTGGATGACCTCACAGTCACAGCTCCCATGGCATAGAGACATGGGTACTGAGCAGTTACGATACTGTGATCCTGCCAGATGGGACTCATTCACTCAGCCGCAACCAGAGTGACAAACAATTTCAAAGAGGTGTGCATTACAGAGGCTGCCTTCTCTCCAGTGCCTGCAGCCTCTCTGTACCCAGCCTGGTGCCCTTCCCAACCAACTATCTGCTCATTTTGGGTGTGAGTGGGACAAGCTGCCTTTTCTTCTAAGTCACTAGATAGTTATGATGGGGTAATCCTGAAAAAATAATTAACTAAAAGCATGCTTTTCAGAGACCATTCATATATATAATATATATATTTAAATTTAGAAAGCATTGTAAATCCAAAAGGTCAGAGAGAAAAATTTGACATAGCTCCAGCACAGGAAATCTTGAGCCTTAATTCAGAATTCCAGCCCTGTGGATGGAGCCGTGAACAGGCTCTCAGAGGTTCAGTGCCTTTTACTAAGGGTAGAAGCAGCAAAATAGTCTTTCATTAAATAAATCTGCATTCTGAGCTAAGCTCTGGTTTTAAAATTCCAATTCCACATTAATGCTTTTAACCAATATTAAGTCTATTTATCAATAGTTTTTTCTGAATCAAAGGGAGAGTCACAGAAATGCCCGAACAGAATTATCTACCTGACACTTGGTTGATTTGACCAACACTGAGTTGGTGCTGGAACCCATCCTAAAGGCTTTGCAAATTCCAGCTCACTTCATCTTCAGAAGAGAAGGGAAATTCATGAAGGAAAATGGGGCACAGAGAGGTCAAGACACCTGCCCAAAGTCACCCAGCTACTGAATGGCTCCAAAGACCCAGAGGTTTAATTCTCTGTGACAGCCTTGCCTGGACAGGATTAAGAACAGCCATTCAAGGTCAGTGCCTTGGGGGCAGGGATGTATGTTGCCTCTGGAAGCCCTGGCAGAGAGGAGTCTGGTGGCAGCACCCCCACTGCTGGTGGATAAAGTGACCGACACCAGATACAAAACTTTCACATTGCTGCTTTTACTCTCACGTGACCCTCAGGAAAGAAGAATGTGAGAAATCAAAAGGTGCAGGAACAGTCAGTCTTTGAACATGTGACTGGACTTCAGAAAGACTAAGAAAGCACCTGTGTTCAAGCAAGAGTGGCCAGACATGCAGGCCAGGTTCCCCCCAGGGCCAGGGAAAGCCTGCTGTGGGCCTGGCACAGTGATGGTCCAGGGCAGGCGACAGTAACAAGCCCTCTGTGGAGGGCTTGGTAGATTGCATGGTCCTAGTCCTCACAGGAACTCACAAGCCCTGACACCAGCCTGACTTCACAGGCCAACAAAGAGAGCCACAGGGAGGTCACTTCACCCAGGTCATAGGCGGAGGGGAGGTAAAGCAGGATTTGCATCTGCTCTGCACTGGGCCCCAGAGATCATGCCCTTAACCCCACAGCTATGCTCCTTTCCAGAAAGGGAAGACATGAATCCCCTTCCTACTTTCCATTCACGGCACTTATTCTCTCTGATGGGGTTGGTCTGGGTCTGATGTCAACCAGGAGACCCCCTGGGTGCCAAGTGGCTGCCAGTCCAAGCATCCCAGACAGGGGTAGGGGACACTTCTGGGCCCCTGGTAAGCAGAGCTCCATGGTGCAGCACATGTGTGCACACACATGTAACACATACACACACACACACACACACACACACACACACACACACACACACCCTCCTGCCCTGCCCTTGCCCCTGTACTTGCTGTGAGCTGAGGGGTGGGAAGGGTATGGGTGACCCACTGTAGTCCCCCCTACCTTCCTGGGAGAGGCCTGCCTGCTGGAATTATATAATCACCCTCCACTCCCCATTCCTGTAGGGCAGTGAAGCCAGAGAAGGTCGAGGCCACTGTGAGCTTGCAGATGGGTCTGCTTAAGGCTGGGGTCAGTATTCATAAGCCCATTTGGCTAACAGACTTTCAATCCATGTTGCAACCTGGACTCTATCAGTAATCACAGCAATACTGTACCTTCATTTTTTAACTTGTTCAGAACCCAGAGGGTATAAGTGGAGGTAAGTCACCTTGGTGGGGTCAACACTAGGGGAATTTAAAGTTTGCTTCCTTAAGTCTACTGGAAGCCACTGGTAGAAAAGCAGAGTTTCTCCTGGATTTTCATCTCCTAAGGAGGGAAAAGAAATCAAAACCTCACCCTTCCCCACCTCCACACCATCACTGTGCCACCTGTGAGCCACCACTGTTTGCTATCTGGGGGGAAAGGCACAACCTTCAGGGGCTCCACTGCAGTGGTACCATTCGCTGCAGCCCAGCTCACACCCAAGGGGCTGAGAAAACCACACAGTCCCAGGTACAGAATGACTGAGAACAGTGACCTTTGTCTCCATCCCCCAGGGCCAACAGGCCTTGATGCATACATGGGAGGCAAACCAAAACTATGAGCAGAAGCACTGGAGAGGATGGCCACAGCATTTTATAGCCACTAGTTTGGAGTCGGCAAATATCTGGCTACCTCTGATCAGCACTTCCCTTCAGTTTGGAGCAAGTCTTGTCAAGAATATGGTCATCTGTTGAGTGATAAGATCAGGGCTGAGACAGGAGAGGAGAAGAGGTGGGTCACCCTGTGAGACTGGAGATGGGTGTGTCAGAAAGCTGTCCCCATACCTGAGTGAGAGCCAGTCCATGAGAAAGGGAAGATCCAGCAATTCTCTCTCTGATAGTTTGGATGCTATATCCTGGGTGACTTCCAACATGATGGACATTTGCAACACTAAACAAATAGTCTGGAATAGTCTGAAACTTATTTTTGTGAGACCTAAATTGACCATTCACCATGTTGGAATGGCCCAGACATGGTACTTACATAACTTCTAAATTGTTTGTTCTGGCCCAAAGCCAGATGAATGAACAGCTAAGTAAGCCAAGCTCCCACTGTGTGTAAAACTGACGTCAACTGAGCAATGGAACATTCATCTTGTACAGCCTACACTATTTCTTAAATAAGGCTTTGGAAAGCAAATCAACTTCAGAAACTACAAATTGATTTTTCAAAAGAAAATTTATCAAGGAAGGAGAATAACCTCTGGGATTGAAAAGCAGATTTACAATAAAGATGGTCATGGCCAGCTGGGGCTGGGTGGGGAGCTATCCATTTTAGTCTTATTTTTCTAACCTCATGACAGAAAGAAGACTTCTTGGAGTAAACATTATCAAGTGAATACTAACACTTTAGCTCAGCAGTGAAAAGAGTAGGAGAGAAAGAGGAACAGAGAAGACAGATACAGAAAAGGGACTCTAGAAACACAATACACAGGCAGGCTTCTGAAAAAGAACAGATGGTAAGGTAAGAGGACTTGGTAAGCAGAGCAGACAGCCGAGGGTGACCGACCTTCTGGGTCACCCAGGACTGAGAGGTTTCCTGGGAGGCAGGGCTAAAACCAGGAGGATTCCAGACAAAGCAGGAGGGCTGGTCATCCCAGCACTTTCAACCCAGCTTGATTCAGATCTTCCACTTGGAGGCAAATGTTCTGTTAGGTCACCAGGTTAGAGGTTTCAAAGGTGATCCAGACCAGAACCCACATAGGCGAATCATCATTGCCAAGGGTGAGGAAAGTGAAGCTCAGAGCCTGAGTCTCAATGTGATCTATAATCCCCGGGGGTGAGGTGTGACCTTGCTGGGTCTCAACATAGCCCATCAGCCAAGAATGGAACATAAGAGTGGGGTCAGGCTGCACTCCACCAAAGAAGAGTGAAGGAAAGACCAGGGAACTTCATGTGCTTTATCTCATCAAATGTTGTCAGTTCTGAAACTAGGAATATCTCCCCACAGGAAAAAAAAAAAAAATACTGTAATTTTTAAAAATATATTTTAGAAGTATAATCATCATTTTAGAAATGCCTGCCTAAGTTAGCCATCTTCCAGAAAAATGGTTTAAAATGCAGCTATGGGAAACTGAGAATGTACATTTCATATATGGGCAAAGGTTCAGGCAGGACTCACACTATCTTGAATATCAGACTTTCCAGACAACACTGTTTCCATTATGCACAAATGCATGACTTGCATAGAGAAAAAAATACATCTAATATTGTGCCAGCACTTCAGAAAGTACCCAGAACACACTGGCAAATCAGGAAGGAGAAATCTACAGTAGAATCACTTCATTGCTAGTATTACATAAGGGAAGATCAAAACTTTTTCAATTAGCTTTATTTTCCTAATACCAATTTCAGAAATCACATATCTTTGCATAACATTTAATTCATACCCAAAACTTTTCTTGGCAGTTGACCCAGTAAAATAAGAAAGATTTCTTTTAAAGCAACTTTTAAGCCTCAAAGGTCAGAGAACAGTACACCCATTCAGAAGGAGTAGAAGAGCAGGGAAAGAAATTATTTCCAGTTACGTACACATTGGTGGTAAAGATGCCGTAGATCAAATCCAGCTCTGGCAGGAAGAAAGTGCTCTGCAGCTCATTGTAGTAGAAAGGAACCTCGCCCGGGCGGGAGCAGTTCAGGCGTGCCTTCATGAACGTGGTCCAGGTGTCCTCCAGCAGAAACCGCCCTCCGATGTCGTTCTTGCAGACCCGAGCAGCCCTGGAGAACACGGTTTTCCCACAGTCGTGCTCCACAGCATTTTCTCGGAAAAAGAAGTAGGTGAAGTTCCCAATGTCGTAAGATGACACAAAGTTTGGTTCTGAAAACAACAGGAAAGAAGAAACGTTTCAACACCCAACGTCAGCAAAGATATTGCTTTGTGCTCTACCTACTCAGCATTTCCTCCAAGGAGACCAGGTTTTGAGTAGGTAACACCTGGTACTTACAGGACGGGCAGGAGGCCCCCCCAGGGCAGGTTAGTGATGTGCTCTACTGGGCAGAACTCAGCACACAAATTCCCCGCGGTGGGAGATCACCAGCGTGGTTCCACGTGGAAGCAACTGAGAGAATAATGTCAAGTTATACAACACTGATGCCATCCAAATGAGCAGCAAAATATCGCAGCGCACTTAAAAGCGATACACATTACTTTGTGTATTCTTGCATGACTTTCAAACAGAGAGGGAGAAACTGAGATTAAAGACATGAAATGTGATTCACAACATAGGAGCCTAGTATCTTGTTTGTGTGGAAGACAACACAATTCCTTGATTTTACTTATATACATGAGTATGACTTTGACATAATGTATGTGTTTTTATAAGGGCTTTAAAAATGTTTTTGATTTGCGGAGACTGAAACTATACGGTTAGTGTCCTGAAGTAGCTGTAGTGATTCCAGTTACTATGGTGACCATGTAACTGTGAGGATCAACTCTTATTTTCTTATTTAGGGGTTGCTGGGGAATCCATTTAGAGGGAGGGTGCTGAGATGGAGTCACTACTTCCCAGCTTTCTGGTGTCATAATTAGCTTAAAAATAGGGATTTAGAAATGACTAATGTATGGAAAACACTTAATCATCAAGCTCATTAAGAGTTAGGAATTTTGTAGGCTGTCAACTGATTTTTACATACAGCATTGAAATATTATTTTCATCATTTCCCTTTGAGCCCACTGATAAGAGAGATGGTAGCCTTTCCAACAACAGATATGCCCTAACACTTATCTTTAAAAATTCTAATAACTAGACTTTATTCTTACTCTTTTCTCTATTGCTAAGAGCTGTCCATTCAATCAGCAAGTATCTGCATTTTATGGTGCAATTAGGATGATATGGCAATAACCTTTGGTGTTCAAAGTTAATGGAAAAATGCACACAACAACTATATCCAGAAGGGCACATTTCAGGGACAATTAGTTTTGGAAGACAATTCAGTTGGCCTTGTACTTTGCCAGATCCAATCAGATTTTGCAAATATACAAGTTATTGGCAGGACAACCAAAAATATGTTTGGCTATAAGATGACCCATTAATGTTAAGAGTATGAGATACAACAGGCTCACCTAAGATCTGAAATGTTGACATTGACTCAAATGCTGACACGGAGGTGGCGCTGACTATTCTGTCCAGAAAGACCGTTCGCAGTATTAAATCAACACGTATATTCCATGTCATCACATAAGGTTTCAATTTAATTCAACTGTACATTCTAAAAGTATAACAAAAATTCTAAATTGTCAATGTAACGTGCTGTTCTCTTCAGTCCACTATATTGTTAAGTTATTAGAGTCCATCAACAAATACATAGAGGATTCTACAAGAACTGATTTTTAATTTATAAACTGGCAAACACACAATTGCTTTAATTTGAAATGGGTATTAAAAAAACAAATAAACAAACTCCGGATTGCATTAAAATGTATGAGACGAAAGTTAGGTCTATTTATTGCTAAAGCATGCTTTAATATCCTGCGAAGATGTTCAAAAAACAGGTTACATATCTCTGACTTGTGTTTTTGGAACAAAAAGCAAATTATTGGGGGACTTTTTGAATCTATGTTCACTGGAGTTCCCTACAAGAGACTACTTGCTAAAGCAGTCCCCTGAAGCAGGTATGGAACAATTACAACATTATATCCAGGCTCACATACCCCGCCTATAGAGTTCAGTCATTGGACTGAAAACAAACAAAAAAGCCACCTTCATCATCATCATCACCACCACCACCACCAAACCTCACGTAAACCTAAGAAAACTATGGAAGAAGGTACAGGACTAGACGCGTCCAGACTGGAGCTATGGTTACAGCTCCTGCGGATGGGATGCGAGGCAGGGTCCATGAGATTGGCCCAACACCCTCACATCTACCTACTTCTGCCACTAACCTGGGACAAACAGCATGAAAAGCATGTAGCAAATATCACTGGCACGTAGGAAGTCCTAAGCAGGAAAGCAAGAAGCTGCAATGATCTAGCCTGGCTTCTTCCAGCTCCAGGCTGGGTTCTAATTCAACAGCATCTGTAGAGTGCTAAGTCTGCTGTGCCAGGCTGGGTGCCAGGCTTCACATCTGTATGCTCAGCAAACTCCCAGGAATCGTAGAAGGAGATGCAGTGCTATTTTCCCCATTTCATGGATGAAGACACCAAAGCCCAGAGGCTTGTTCTGCCATCCACAAGGTCACACAGTAGCAGCGGGAGACAGGATTTATGTCCTGGATCCAGACAGACCTCAGAGCCCATACGCTTACCATCCCACGACACTGAAAATATAACGGGATGCATGAGGAGAAGTGATTATGTTGACAATACTTGAGAATGGCATTTGGAATTTTGGTTGATGATTCAGAAACCAAAGTGGTGAGCAGGTTTACTCAGGACTGAGATGAGGAAGGTTTCAGAACTGACCAGTGAGGATGAGTATGTTCAGATGACCCTTTACCCTGTAGCTATTGGGGACATCAGAGATGACACACAGAGAAGAAAACATGGGAGGGACGGATGACTTATTAAGCAGGAATAGTGTTGGGAAGCATCTGCCCCCAGCTCCATGGGCGAAGTTTCAAACAGTGCCCACCCTAGCCCCAGAGCACCAATGGGCAACCACCAGGGCATCCACTGCATGACCACTGCCCACTCCATGGGATGACCACACGCAGATTTCTCATATAAGGGGGATACCTAGGGATGGCCAGCCAATTGGCCCAGAGCTTCCTCTTCCCAGAGAGCCTCCAACATCTCTCCGAACCACCCTGAAACAAGTTTATGATAAGGTGACAAAGGGATTTTAGATAGAAATGCTCCAACACATTTCTTTTACTGCTGAGAAAACAAGGAGGATTTGTGCTTAGTGTGCAGTATAGGCTGTCCTCTAGTTCACTGCTCATGACAGGCCATTTTCATCAGGGAGCTAAACAATGACCCTGGGACACATTGGCTGCCCTGCTGTGGTCCTTCAGGACGATGATGGGTCCCTGACTGTGTGACCTGCTGAAAAACTGGGAAGCTCCATTTCCTAGAAAGCAGAGCCTCTGAAATGCAGCCAGCATCCTGGTCCTTTTCCAAAGACAGCAGAAACGCAGGAATAATTGTTAAACAGATGGCCAAATACCTCTTGCATTTATAGATACAAATCTGGGGGTAGGGGATGTTTGAGTCCCACCAGGCAGGATATAAGATGCATATTGTTTCCCTTCCATTGTTTATGTACTGTCTCTTGTTAAAAATGCAATTTACTACAACTACTATCTGTTACTCTTGAGTGAACTGAGCAAGTCATGAATCAGGCATTGTCTCCATGTCTACAAAGAATGTGAATGCAAGAGAGAGATCAGAGGGGTCCTTTATTCTTATTGTTAGAGCTACAAATAGAAAGTGTGTTATTAATTCAGGATAAAACAGACATGAGTATATGTCAGTTTATTAAACATATGCATGGAGAAGCTGTTTTTTCTCCTGTTTGTTAAACATACTGAGTTCTCGATCACAGAATGTTCTACAAAGTATGTCATATCATATGACGATGTCTGTTTCATGATAGAAGAGCTTTCATTTCTCACATTTAATTACATAAGAGTGGCCACTCAGATGGCAGCACTGAGAAGAGACCCATGATATAAAGACGAGAGATGGGAAGACCAAAAGAATTGACATTTTTGAGAAGACTGACCACATAAAACCAAACCCTGAACATCCACATGGGTCTTTTTTTTATTCCAGCAACTACTGCATCAGTCTGGAGGTGCCATGTTCACTGGTTCAACCTAATGACTGATGAGATCACTGACAGGCTCTTTATATAGAAATATTGGTCTAAATGGATGAGAATGGATATTAAAGCAGAAAGGAATTGAAATTTTCCAACTCTACAACACGAATCTCACCAGAATCTAAATCTTCTGTAAATTCTTCCACAAAAAAAAGGCCATCTTGTGATACACTTGCCCAGGCAGACTGGGAATGGCTGGACCTGGAACCTGCACAGGCTGTGGCTCGACCAGGTTGAAGCCCTGGGCTGGGCCACCAACATCTGAATGTTCCTCGACCTGTCTGACAATTCAGGACACAAAAGACCTACTTTGCTCTAAGGGTTAAAGAGACTGGTACCTAGCAGGAACCCAGTAAATGATGGCTATACTTATTATTTCATGATTTACTCTTGATTTCCCCTTTAGTAATTTATGTTTAGTAGAACTTCACAAAATGATAATGAATACTAAAAAATGTGTATATTAAGCTTAAAGGTGATAGTATTTGAGGAACATAAATACAGCCATGCTGAGTTTTTAAAAGAGCAAGCTATTCCACAGAAAGAAAAGGAGTTGATGGAAACATCTTAGACATAACACAGCGAACCCGAGGCACTTAGTTCCCGAACTGGTGGATGTCAGTCACTATTAAAACCACTTCCATACACAGTTCTAGATCCCAGCCCCTGTCTTTGGTGGACATTGTTTCCTCTGTCACAGCTATATACATATAGAATGTGTTGCAGAGGGTTCCATAGTGAACCTAGTTTCATCTAGGTATTTATTAGGAGTGGATAAATTAAAATTACATTAAATTAAGTAAAATGTGGTTTAAAAGCCATTGATATACTAGTTATTTCCCTAAGATTTCTAGTGACAGATGATTGATAGACGTGTGTGTGTGTGTGACATACATACATGCAATTAAGGTGTATGTATATATGGCTCAATACTTCCACCTACTGGCTGTCTGAACTTAGTCACGTTATTTGAACGCATATATTCCCAGGTCCCCCCATTTTAGAATAGTGACAGCTATACCCAGTATCATAATCACTCAAAGGCAGTGTATGC